TATTACCTAACAAGAGTAAGGCAACTCCTTTTGAAATGTTGGACAGAAATTGCAAAAGAATTAGTCAAACGCTTCCCGAAAAAAAGATCTTCTTCCAACTGAAAACATCGCAAAACTCTTTGTCACAGCCGCAGAAACATTGTTTTCTCGGACTACTCTCTTAGAGTTTGTTATATGAACAAAATACCCGATTGTCTCGAGAAACAAGCACATTACAGCTCTATAAATATACAGGAAAAAAAAGAGGGTGTGGCAACTTTTTCCAAGGAGTGATTCCAAGGAGTGTAAGACTAATTTGGAGAGCAGAAAAGTAAAATGTGGAGCAAGCCATAATAAACATTGGGCAAAGTCGACTAAATATGCAAGCTGTATATCTAGCCGGTAATATTTTGAGATCGACGAGGGTGAAGGAAACAGCCATACAAAAATTTAGCGAAAATTTCCTTGACTGAACGCTCAAACGAACGTAAATTATTTACCACTTAAATAACCGCAAAAACCAGGCGAAATCATATATGGGTGGATCGCGTGCGAACCCTAACACTTTAATGACATGTAATCTTACAGCGTTGGTCAAGGAAAAACAGATAATATATTTAAATATGAGCTAGATACCTAAATATTTAATCACACTTAAACGATTACACTCTGTCTCTAAAACGTACATGTCTTTCGCTTCGTCTGTTTTCCAGAGCCCATGAAGTTTAAACAACCTCTCAGAAACGGCTGTGGAAGCGTTATTACTAATAACAGCTGTAGCACTCCCAGAACGCAGACTATGTAGGCCATATTCCTTGGGGTCATAGCCCAAATCTTTCAAAGTAGTCCTAAATATTTCCCTGCAGCGAGTATAGAATAACTTGCTATTCCTAAGACTATAACCCGACTTGTTCTTCGTTAATGGCCTGAATAAAGGCAAGCGACTGGACAGATCCAAATTGGCTGCTTCAATATACTTACGTAGGATAGCTAATGGACAGTATTTGTTCTCTAACTTAGCGATATAAACACAGTTGCCCTCTCTATATACATCCGTTTTACTCCTTGACACAAAATTTTTAAAAAAACCATCGCAAAACGTGAGGCGTTTTTGCTGAATATTAGCCAGCTCGTTAAAACCAAAAAATCCTGCAAAGCCTAAAGAACTCACTGCGGCATTACGTAAGTCCTTTAAAGATGCTTCCTCAGCGCCATCCAACAAGCGTTATCCAAAGGATTGGAACCATGATCAGGAACAAAGGAATGGAACCATTTCAGCGCAGCATGGACCAAAACCATTGCGGCTGGGGACCTAAGCTGTTGATCTAAGCCAAATAGATAAAGTTCGACAACAGAAGAAGAAAAAGGCAACTGTAGCGCAATTTTCCTAGTTCTACACCACAGTAAAAACTTGTTTATTTCCTTGAGATATTTCTTCACAATAGAATCCGCCCTGGAATTAAGTAAACAATTAAATAAAGAATTGAAATCCAGCCTAATAGCAGAAGGGAGCACCATCCATGCTTTACTTGCAATTACGACCTTCAAGAAAAAATTATATCACCAAAATTTTACAACAACAGGATAGCGAGTCTAGCAATTGTGACGCAAGCAATGACAGCGATCCTAATAAGCGGCCCTATGCCTAATGTCAGTAGGCTGCATTATAGTAAGAACCTAAACCGACCTCCCGGGGCAAAACAGGCATGCAAAGTAGCTCCTAAACAAAGGCCTAGCGAATAACCTACAAAGAAAACTAAATAACAAACACGTAGTAACTGCATATAAGTCCTAAACGCGACTTTCTCTAGTAGATCATTTAAACCCCCAAAGGCTCCACAAGCTACATGCAAACGGATATAAAATAGACAACACCCTATCTAGGACACAGTCAGCTCGGACACTTAAATAACCTAACAATCAGCAAAAACAAAGTTACAGCCTTGATTAAGAAAGGTAAAAAACTTAAACCAGCGGGAACAACGCAGTTCAATTTTGTGAAAAACCTTGGCCAGAATGGCACGCGAACCAGTGGCAAAAAAGGACACAATTTTCCATACGTGAAAAGGTCTCCCACTGTCGAGAAAACTCGAAACCTTTTCGTTCTACTAACAAAGCTCTAAAACGACAGAAATCTTCTCCAACGGACGCAGTCGTCTCTTCACATGACCAGTGTCATTTACCCTGGACACAGCTGCCCATGCAACTTATGACCAGTGTCAAATCCTGCAAATACCAGCACTAAAAGCTAATTCAGAAACCTAACTGAAGGGCAAAAAAGCTGGATAATACCTACAAAAATTCGAATCTGAGTGCGACAACCTCGCCCGTAAAGCGAGGAGAACCAAGGAATGAACTTAAATTTCTTCCCAGGGTGAGAGTTTGGGATGCATTCAGCGTAAAGCATCCTTTAATGAACCACAGATATTTGCTCGTCAGAAGACGCCAGAAACTGGACGAAGGCCATGATGGGACTACAAGAGTAGCCATCGCTTTCTGCAGGCTCAGATAATAGATAACGCGGGCAACAAGAGCAACTAACACTAAGTTGTCATACTGGCAATTTAGAGGTGTACCATAGTGTGCAGACCAAATATGCACCCAAACGGCAGCACTTCTCTTATAATGGCATGGTTGCTCGAACTCAGTTGGCAGCACTAGACCATAATGCCAACACTGGTAGACAACAAGCCACTGTATCCAGGGGTGCCAACCAAGGGGAGCTGCAATATAAGGTAGTGTTTCCGAAAAATACAAAAGAATGGGTGGCAAAGCCCATATTTGAGAAGACAACCAATTATCATCTCAAGCCAATGCTTAATGCCATTGTAGAGAGAAAATGCTTAAAACCACAAGAGAGGAGTGCAACAGTCACAGCACCACACATTCCTGGAAACATTGCCAGCAAACCCCGGCCTCCTAAAGCAGATGTCATTGCTAATCATACTTCGAGATTTTCGAATAATTAAATACAACAACTTTGTCAATAACACAATCAAATGAAAATAAAAGCAATCATCGTAGCAAAAAGCAATCAAAGTTAGGTTTGAGGTTTATTTCATTCAGGCCACGCAGCTATCCCTGGCAATGTGGATAATTTAATAACTGCAGTAGGGATGACATTCGTTTGGCTCTGCATGGCTTTTGACTGAATCACTATGCAGAAATGTGTTAGTAATTCATATCCTCGATAAGTAATTGTATATTTCACGCAAATTTTAGAAAGAAACCGTAACATAAGGAAAGAAGAGCCTCCGATGTTATACACGCAAAGGATATGTCACTAATCATTATTAAAGGACATTAAGGATAAAGTTCAAAGTTCCAGATCTGCTTCTCGAAACCCCACGTAATTACCACTCTCTTCTGGAAATGTTTTACGTATGGCCGTGACGACGCATGCTGGCACGATTCTCCGCCGGTTTTTTCCTAATACCCCATGTGCCCACCAAGTAAATTGTCTGTAGGCTGCCAAACGCCAAGTTCTAGAGAACAAGAGGATATAAAGTCACAAAAGCGATTGACTTAATTACGCGTACAAAATAAGAAAGAAAAAGACAGTTTACCTGTTGACGATAGGGTCGGGAATTGGATTGAGCCGCGCATTGTGGATTGCAACCAATGCCGTGCTCAAAACATCCGTGTCCAAGCACACAATACCAAATTTCGGATGTTCTGTTATACATCTAACACCTATTAAGAAGAAAAAAGTCTTAACATTTTATTTCCCTCACTGTTTCAATAATTTTCATCCATCAGACCTTGTAATTGTAATTACAACTAAGATCGAGTTTGCAATTGTCCACCTTTTGTCACTCTTAGTCACATAATAAGTACAAACCTGAATTGTCGAACTTTTGATTAAGCTCCTCTAGTTCTTGGCAGCAGTAACATTCATTTGCCACCGGCATAAGCGCACAAGCGCCGCACAAACACCATTCGGTGTTTCCCATCCTCGAAGTATTGTCTTCTTCGTGGGCTTCTACCTCCTGTCCTACACTCTCTTCCTGAGGTGGTTCTTCTCCAGGCTGATATACTGGTTCGAACTGAAATGGTTCTATTCCGCTCATAACGAAGGGTCGACGAAGAAGCAATTTGTATTAAAACTTAGCTGAACGATAACACGTTCTAAAGTGATCCCCATAACATACGTCACAGGCTCTTTTGGAAGACCGCTGATTTAAAATTGGTGCCCACGGTTTGAAAGCCGAAACAGCGCGAAAATACAAACTTTAAAGAAATATTTCTCCAAGGTAAGACACATTTAGCACAAATAACGCCTGAAATCGAGAATTTCGTCACTTTGGCTATCGAAAGAAATTAACTCAATTTTTGGCTTCAGTTCTCCTTTAACTCTTGGGCAAAGAAGTCAATTCCTGACGCACCCGGATTTCAGAAACGCGAAAAGAATCTAGAAAGCTTTGCTATATAAAAATCAGCAAAACAGTCAACTGTATGCGCGCCCCATAACTCTTCCAAACTTAGAAAGAAATCCTGTGTGACTTGCCAATCATCAAAGTCTATAAGGCGACTGATGTAATCCGCCTTCTCATTCTCAGTTCGTGGAATCCACTGCATCTCAAACGAATAATATGCTCCGCGCAGAACTGAAAAATTTTAATTGCATTCCTGTACAAATCCAATTTTATGCTTCCGACTTCTATGATTCTAGCCGCCGTCTGGCTATCAGTGAACCACTTGACAAGTGAACTTTCCAAAATTGGCGCAAAAGACTCTAGAGGAAAATCAATGGCTGCAAGCTCTCTCCAAGTAGAGCTCTTAGAACGCTCTGAAGGCTCCCAAAACTTGTGACACACACAATCCTCGTTAAGGGTAGTAATTGAACCGCACCCTGTAGCGCTGGCATCGGAGTAAGCGAAACGCTGTGGCTTATTAAAGAGAAAACAATCGCGCACTTTGAAGGAATTTAAATTGTTTTTCCAAAAATAGAACTCCTCAATGCAATAGGAATCCTTCTTAACTTTCGAGTCCCAGTGCTGCGCGCTTAATGTAGACATAATTCAGTGCCTAGTCATGATCCTAGAGATATTTCCGGAAACAGGCGCTGTAGAAATTATCCACCCTGTAAAAGAGGCCAATCTTCTGGCAGAAAGAACAAAATCGGAATCGATAATATTGTCAATGGTACTAGTTATTTTTGCAACCCTCCTATCGACAATTTCAATGGTTCCACGAGCGCTATCCCAAGTGATACTCAGCTGATCAAGCCTCTGGCAAGGTATCCACACTGACTTATCCTCGTTAGTAACGAAACCCGCCTTAGAAAGGTCAGTTCTGACGGCATCTGCGACAATACTGCACACTTGAGAATCCTTTTCAGTTCCCCATCCGTCGTCAAGATAAACAGCCACGGAAATACCCTGATGCCTCCACTGTTTCTCAAGAGGCTTTAGAATTTTTGGGAACTCGTAAGGGGCGGACGATAATTCCATATGTAAAATTGTAAACACATAGAACTTCACTTGATTGGAATTGGAATGCTTCTAGGAAAAAGCAACATATGTTTGCTGGCCCTCAAAAATTTCAACGTGGTGGTACCCACTTTTCAGGTCGAAGGAAAACATGTATGCACCCCGCGCGAAGACATAGCTGTTTTCCAGTCTTCGTATTTAACGTGCATCTTACGAAGAAACTTGTTGAAATATCTTAAATCAAGAACGAGCCTCTTCTTTCCATTAGCTTGAACAGATACGGACAAGGGGTTGACCACCAGGGGCGGTACCTTGGTTTCCACAAAACGACCCGACTCTGGAAAACTAACGAAAGGTAACAAATATCCCCTTTCTATAACGTTAAGAATAAAACTAGGAGTTCCAATACACTTCCAAAGTTCGACGTCTCTTCGAAGATTTCCCTTGACGTTGACACACGGCGGACTAGTACTTAAGTCAAACTCAAACAATTCGCTATCGCAATGTACCCGAGCGATTTCAGCAACCTCCTCATCAACAACATTGCTGCTTTGCACCGGGTTGAGTTTGGGCTCCGTGACTGTAAAGGCTGTATGAGTATCCTGGGGTGAAAGTGGTTCCGCGATAAGCGCTTCTTGGGCTATCCCAGGAGGCAGTGCATTCTCTTGCCAAATGGCCGAGTTTGCGACATTTAAAGCACAAGTTAATAACAAAAACAGCCACTAAATGTTCAGTTACTGTTTGGGAACTGACAACAGCGCGGAAAGATGAACACTGGTATTCACTGTGAATATAAAACGTCTATTTCTTTCGTTTTTTTTATTTTTTTTATTTCCCAGTCGTTTGCTGACCGAGAGTATGTCACGTGGCAGACTGAGAATGTTCAGTTTACACGAGAGGCTTGTGACGCTCTCCTGAGGCAACTCAAACAAAAAATCAAAAACAATATTAAAAACGGTCGGTCGGCGGGACACGAAAGCCGTTATTATTACACAAGTCAGGCCGACAGATTCTGCCATAAATTACCAAAAAAAAAAAAAGAAAAAAAAGCAAAACTAAACCATGAAAATTTACCACTTTTTTCCTCTCATCCAGGGGCTACCTATATCGAACTAAAGACTACACACTAGTCTTTTAATACAAAGTCTGCGCAAAAATATCATTCTGTGCGTGGTGCGTTCAGCTGTGAAAGAAATATTTAAATGACTGTGCCTTGGGGTCCAGAAAACAAGGATACAGGTCGTATACAGGGTCTTTTTCAAGCACTCATGCCAGCTGTACTTTAATTACAAAGAGACAAAGATATTTCATAAAATCCTTTTAATAAATCAACAAAAGCGAGGGAAAAAATAGCGACAACGTTGGGTAAAAATTGACGTACTAAATTGCTATTTACAATGACAAGTGAGACGAACAAGCATTTAAGCTTGTAACACCAAATATCGACTTAAACTTTTCGGATCATGAAAGATTTTCCATACATCTCCAGTTTCAAGCATCATCAATGTAAAGCATCAAAAAATAAGCCTAATTCAAAGCACAACGCTGCCTGTGAACTGATCCAAGCTCAAGGAATCGTTCATCTGTTCCTTTTCTCAAAGTCGGCTTTTTTTGTGAGGACAAAATGAGCTTGTCAGCTAATTAGAATCAATAGTATTAATTGAATTAATAAGTTTGAATTAATTGAGTTGAGTAATTTGAATTAATTAACTTGAAAAAATTGAGCTTGTCTTCTGCCAGGGTCTCGGTTGCTGGAAAAGATCGAATTATTGGAAGAGTGAAAATTGGGGTTTGGGAAGGAAAGGAAGCTCCTCTCACTCTTCCCGAGACCTCAAATGTCTCACCTCACCCCTTTTTTGGCCGTCTCCATAAAAGGAGAGACTGGCAAATACAAATATAGGGGCCTTTCTTTCTTCGCGTCAAAAAGTCACTTTTGGGATCTATGCTGAACTATTTCACTCTGATATCCTAAGAAATTCGTTTAGCGTTCTGATCGGCAAAAAAACTGAGTAACAACTCGGTATTTTATTGCTAAAAATAACTTGAATTTCCGGTTACAATATAAGACGTTTCACGCGGGACCAGAAATTAGGGAACTTCAGCAAACCACGACAACAGCAACGAGGATGTGGCAAAACAAGAGATCTAAATAATGAGCAGAACAGTGGCTCGGCGCGTGAGTTTTAAAACTCTGTTCATCTCTCAGCCGTCCACTGCAAAACAACAACGTGAAATCACTAAAAATTTTCGTGATCTGAGAAGGAAAATACTGTCGGCAAATTATCGAATATTACGTTTCCTTCACCATGGCAAAATACACCTGTTTCATTAATTTCTATGTAACACTCAACTTACATTTTAACACACAAGATAAATATTTCTCGCAATCAAAGATATTTGTCCATATAGCGAGCAGTGAAGGAGGACATTCACTTTTGAATTCAAATAGCTACAAGTGACTAATACTATTTTACAACAAGGAAAACGATCTCAGTTACAAATAACAAAAACAATGCTCCCTGACGATTAAGATGAGGTGAAGGTTTACAAACAAACACATAAATTACAATAAATACTAACTTTTTTAGAGGGGGGAAAACTGTCTAATATCTTCGAAATTATTTTACTTTCCACACACAAAGTATTAGCTAAGTTATTGTCTGCCTGAGAGAAAATCAACGATTTAACAAATTTCCAACCTTGCACGACTACACGCAACGGGTTTTACTCCAGGTCACCTCTCCACCAACATAATTGTTGCACGATTGAAAAACAGACAACCCTAAATATTTCTTTTTGATGACCCGGAGTCCTCGATGTAATGTTTTCCTTGACTTTCCCAAAAGTAAAGAACTCTCCTCTCAATGTAACCTTACTTTTCTGACAAAACCGTTTGAATCATATACGAGACACTTAAAAAAGAATCCAACTGATAAATAAGAATAAGGAAACCATTTAAAAGCGAGTAAATTATAGCGCAGTACCGAGTTTGACTAGTAGCCGCGTGTCACGGGTCGCGCCTATGAAGTTTAAGCTTTTAAATGATTTCTTCTGACTTTTCGTTTGTTTTCTAGCAGGGCGCTTACGCCTGACGCACAGTAATGCTTCATTCTTCAAGCGCTAATTTCACAGGTTCCATAACATAACGTCTTTCCTGGATCTTTCAGCTGAATGTGATGTTAATGGAAACGTCGCCTCCAAAAGGCTTCTTCTCACGACTTGTGCAGGCGCTTTATTTTGTTCAGGACGTGGTAATATTGGTCTTATTTTGGATACAGAATGGGAACATCAAACCGAAGCGCTTATCAGAGGTGACCCATGTGAAACACTTTCTTGATTTTTTTCCTCCTTTCCCCACCCCCCCTCCCCCTCCACTCTATATCTATCTATCTATATATATATATATATATATATCTATCTATCTATCTATCTATATATATATATATATATATATATATATATATATATATATATATATATTTATCCATTGTATTTTGTGCCCGCCTGTCTTCTTTTCCAATTCCTTCTCGCTATTATCTCTTTTTACCTTATTACCAACCCCGGAGTACTTTGCTCTTTATTCTATGTTATATTTTCGTTTCACACACCAAAAAGGTTTTAGAGTGTAAGGTTTGAAATAGTCATTTTAACAAATTCGCTATTTACAATGTTTTTCTTTAATTTTTCTTAAAAGAAAAAATAAAATAGGCTTCTATGACAAAGGCGACCGAGGGCTCTACGAGCATCTGACGAAGTTACTCAACATGGGCAGTGCAGCTAAAGACAAAAAGAATCCAACTGATAAATAAGAAGAATGAAACCATTTAAGTGCAAGTAAATTATAGCACCGTGTCAGTTTCTTTTTGGATGTTAATATGTTAACCTACAACTTTTGGTGAATTATTTCCTATCATCAGTACAAACCTTTCAAACGTAAATTTATGACAATAGAATCAACATGATTTTCGCTTTTCAAAACACGCATTTGGATTTAACACAAGAAAAAACCTTTTTCTTTCTATTTTGTTGGGTTAACGCTTCCTGCTAATAAAAGCGAATAGATGCTGGTACAGATTGTAGGGAACAACGTCATCAAATCCAAAGCATGTATGGGTTCACAGTAATTTCAGGTCACATAATCAAACCCAAATAAAAGCATCCCATAATAACAACACAAGCCTAAAAAATTAAAAAATTACCATTGCGCAAAGAAGTTTGGTCCGAGAAAAATTCTCACAATTCATCTTTTTTTCTCTCTCTTATGTGAAGCAGCTACAGAATTTTCAGAATCAAACTCCCAAAGTTTTCAATTAGGTTTCAGTAATCAAGCATCCACTACACTGGAAACTGCTGTCTGTAAATAATATCAAAGTTTTGAAAGCTAAATTTGTTTCTGTCTCAATTTAATCTTAAACAAATTTTTCTGTAAACCATAGTCAAAGAAGCATTACATGAACCATTAAAGTACTTAACATGGGCTGTTTACGGTCTCCGCCATCCCCAACAATTGCTACTGATGTCACAAAATAGAAATAGAAAATTTCGAAAACAGTGACTGTTCCTGATGTCTATATTCTTTCCCATGCAGACTACTCTGTTAAATTCTATCAAAAGCAACTTGCTGGAAACAATATCTAGTGCTATTCTGAGGAACGTCTAACTAAAGATTAGATACAACTGAGTGTAACAACAAAAAGACTCTTACATGGTAATCAGTGACCAAAGTGATGCCTCTCCCTTTTACTGCTGTACACAACTCTTCAATCTCTGTCTTTGTCATCTGAACACTAAACAGAGACAGGTACTCCAGCTTAGGAACACTGCTGAGATGCTGAACCAGGTCCCTGACTCCTCTGCCAAGTGGATTCCACCCTAGACCAAGACAGCTCAGCTCTGGTACATCCTTAAGTGCACGAGCCAGTGCTGATGCTTCATCTTCACCCATATTTGTATACGACAGGTCCAGCTGAAGCAGATTGGGTACACTTTTCAGGTTCTTGGCCAGTTCAATGATCCCGTGACCCAGTGCATTGGAACTCATCTCAAGATCGCTCAGCTCTGGTACATCCTTAAGTGCACGAGCCAGTGCTGATACTTCATCTTCACCCATATTTGTATTGTCCAGGTTCAGCGAAGTCAGATTGGGTACACTGTTCAGGTTCTTGGCCAGTTCAATGATCCCGTGACCCAGTGCATTGTGTTCTATGTTCAGTTTTTTTAACTTGTTTAAGTACTGTAATGTGGCACCCAGTGCAGCACATTCCTTTTCTCCCATTTTTACAAAACCTAACTCTAAAATAGTCAACCGTGGAGTGTGATGAAGATTCTTGGCCAAATGACTCACACCGCTGTGTAAGGGGTTCCATGACAAGCAGAGTTCATGCAAGTTTGGAGAGTGGTGCAGTGACTCAGCAATAAAAGCAGCACACTTTGCTGTTAGATTGGTACCACGAAGTTTTAAACTGTGGAGATTGTCAGTAAAATTAATTCTGTGAATCGCGTTCTCAATCGAATTACCTTCCAAGGCATCTGTCAAGCTCCCCCATATATCAATATCTCGAAGAGCTGTTAATAAAGGCAACAAGTTCTTCAACAGAACAAAATCCTCAACTGTTACCTCCTTTAACTCAACCTCTCTCATCAGTGACAAACAATGTTGTTGTGCCTGGTCAGATCTGTTCTCAGTCAGAGACAGTGTAACGTTGTTGTCCTCATTCTCTGCCAGATTATCTACAGGTGGCTGAGAAGAACAAACTGGCGCTGATATCAGTTCAGGAAGAAGTTTAGGGCAAAAAACAGCATTTGTTATGCGATGTAGATAGATAAAGTTTTTTTTTTCGCTTTTTTTGAGGAAAAGGTTCGCATCGCGTAAATCGGCGTATTTTTTAAAATCCTTAACTTCTCCAGAGCACGTTAAAACGACCGCGTTCAAGTCAGACAATATGGATAGAATACTCTCACGATCATAATATTCAGTAAATATATAATCAAAAAATAAATAGTTTGGAAAACTGGCGGTGCCTTTGAAGAAGTTTTTCTCAGCAGCAGTAGACACGTGTTCGTCATGAAGCACTACGACATGGTTAACACATGAGAGAAATGCAGAATACACAGCTAGTCTGTCTGACTCTGGACAACAGAACAAACAATCGACACAGAGTTTCATGAAATCTTTTTGTGCTCTAGACAAATCTTCAACAGAAGGCGTCCTAGTGAAATTGTAATTTGTGAGACCTTCTTTCTTTCCGACATAGTGTAGATGATCAAAAACAATGCTGACAGCATCTGATGACAACTCACAAACGAATTTTAGAACTTCGTCCATCTTCTTTGATTTTTCAAGCGTATCCATTCCTGACAGGCAGGTGACAGTTTCATTCTTCTTAACCTTCACTTCTTGAACGATGAACCAGGCGGCGAGAAACTCCTGAACGGACTTGTGAAGAAAATACACGATCTTCTCACGGTTCAAAGCGGAAAGTTTGGAAACTTGAAAAAAGCCGACATGAATAAGCTTCTCGAACAGATCACCTTTAGGAAATTTACTGAAGTTAAAATGAAGGCAGTCCTCCAAAAGAGCATCAAAAGCAAGTTTTCCTATTTTGGAAAGTTCCTCTTGATATTCATCTATGCTTTTATCTGTTGCGACGTTGTCTGAGTCTTTAATAGCCATATGATCCAAGAGAGTCTGAATAAATTCTATGTAAATTTCCGCACGAGATGTTGGTAATTGAGGTTTTTTCTTCTTCCACAGAAGACACAACATCAACAATAATAGTGGAATCTCTGCCATCTCCACGAGGTCATGCTTCTCCAGGTATTCAAGTAGCCCTTCAACGTCCTCCTCATCAGGAAGAATCTTACTTGCAAACTGTTTCTTCTGTTCCCTGCTATCGAACCCGTTAAGTTCAAACTGAGCGTGACTTAGAACTCTAAGCTCATCCTCTTTCACCGGCCGCGTTGTGATCATTACACAACAGTCTCTCAGTTGACTGCCTCTCCAAATCTGGTGAATTGGGGATGATTTTCCACCGCTGTACTCATCATATCCATCCAAAATGAGCAGCACTTTCTCCTGGTTCTGACGCACATATTCATACAAGCTATCGACTGCCATCGGGTCATCAGCAGACAAAAGTTCAGCGGTTTTCAAAATGCTACAGAGGTCCGGAATATCACAAACGTCTCGTAACCTGATTAACAGTAAAAGAGTGAACTTTTTGAGAATCTCCTTTTCGCCATTTGCCCAATCCACAGCTACTTTTTGAGTAAAAGTAGACTTTCCTATTCCAGGTCTTCCATATACCAGAATTCGTCTACGGACGGGATGATGTTCGTCACCTTCAAATACTTCATAGCTGTCTCCCAGTTTTTTTTTCGTTGTCCCGTCAGGTTTTTTGTGGTCTTGTAAAAACGTTACCTGTATGTAAATGTCGTTAATGTGTACTGTGTTGTTTGGGTCCCATGGTGTTATTTTCACTTGACACATGGTGTTGTAAAACGCCCTCAACTGATTCTGGCACCATTCCAAAAATTCTGTTACAGACGAGTCTGTAGACAAAACAAATAGCTTGGTAAAAAACTCCCACATCGAAAAGAAAATTACTCGAGTGGGGTTTTTAAACAGTGGGAAGAATATTTCCTTCCATCTGTAATTTGTAACTTTAATAACGTCACTCATTGATTTCGAGGGTAAATTTTCACATTTTCACACTTGATCTGGTCACTACGGTGTTTTGTTGGGGAAGGGGGTTTGATTTGCGCCTAATTCTCGAGTGCGGTCTTCGATTCTCCCGTAAAGGGAAAAAGCGTGAGCTCGTTTCACGAACAGCGGCTGGTAATCGTGGCTATGGTTCGTTCCGCTACACAAAATCCTTATAAGAAAAATATTGTTTTGTTCTGAGACAAGTGAAACTATTTCTCTGTTAAGCGAAACAGTAGCGAAAAACTCAAATCTAAAAGAAACTATGTTAACACTTGGAATCCTCCAGTAAAAAAGTCAGAATCACAATTCAGATTCTGAAGAAGACAAATACCTTCAAGCTTTGAGCGCATTATGCCCTGGTCCAGAAACTTGTTTGACGACTTCCTTTTTCCACCTTAAAAACATAAGAAAAGTAATTTAACACGGGAGAGAGCGAGGCGAGCATTTGATCAGTTCCTTACTAATTCAACAACTGCAGGCAATTATTTGTACGTCAAAGAAATCTCGCCGGAAAAACGTAATACTGTAAGACTAAGAAAACCTTGAACACAGGAAATTTCTACGGAAAACCATAAAGTTTCAAAGAAAAATACTTATTCAGCAGACCAGAAAAAGCTAAACCACACACAGCAATGCCAATTAGTTTAGTTTAAAGGAAGATGTTATGAGTCAGTATGCAGAATCGAGCCCCAGACCTTCGGATTCTGCGCCACGAAGCTCCCCCAATAAGCAAGAGAGAACTCTATGGTGAGTTCCACAGTAATAAGAATAAAAGAAACAGTCTCTCACAACATCTGTTCATTCAAATACCTGCTGTTTTGGTAAACGAAACATCTTGCTGTTCGGAAGACTGGGCACTAGGATAGGATGGCTCTACCGGAATCCCTTTACTCAGTGGTGAATGTTGTCTATCAGTTGAAATATCTTCAAGAACACAAAACCAAACAGACAGCGGTTAGACAGCCTTATGAAGTTTGAGACAGACACGCGGCTACATGTAGTTCAAACCACCAGGATTCGAATACTGCATCCTAACCTTGCTTGCAAAGTTCTCTGCTCTAACGAATGTGGGTGTAAGATTTCTTAAAATGCAAATCTACGTGAGGAATTTAAGACGCGTGTGATCTTTCCTTCATCTGCCTCAAAATTCAGCATTTAACTGCAGTCCTTAGAAGAGGTACCATGCTATAATTGGGTTAAAAAGACTGGCACCTAGAATTCTCAATAGACATCCTGGGAATTTGTAGACAACGATGGTGGCTCACGTGATTACCCAACGACAAGAATTAACTGTTGTTCAGTCAAGCAATGATAATTTGGTTTCATTAACTGAGTTAAATTGGCCACCATAAAGAGTTTCTAAAGCTGATGTTTCGTGCGTTAAGCCCTTTGTTGGAGCGATTAGGGGAATGTGGGTCGTGTGTGGTTTATAAAATGGGGTTGGGGTGGAGGGGAGAGAAGGGGGGTTAAGGCATAAGTTTCCAGGTGTATTATGGGGGGAGGGGGGGAACGGAGGTCTTCTTTCGAGGGGGAAAAATGCTATTAAAAGCTTGAAAGCATCTCACAACCAATCTTTGTAGAAAGAAATTAGCGCCCCTGTATGTTGAGTTGAGGTCAATGTCATTCTTTTCAATTTCTCACCTTTGGTTGGCCCAGCGCAACAATCCATAAGAAGAGCCTGTGAAATTGCTGACAAACATGTAACATTTCTGATCCAAGAACTGTTCTGATTGGTCAGCGCATGATCATAGATCATAAATCATGTTTTTAATTCGGTTTTGGTAATTTGGTTCCAACACATTTATAAAACACAAAACTAAACAGTATACAAGACCAGCGAGTGACTGCAAGCAAATATACTGTGGGACTAAAAATGACAAAAATTAAACAGGTTACCTTTGTAATGTGGCCAATCTTCAAAAATACTGCATTCTTTTAGAATGTTGGCAATAAGAGAAGCTGCCATTACACTTGCAAATGTTTGCCAGTTTTCTCTCTCTTCAGTTCCATCTGCATACCCTGAAATACCCTTGATGACAACCCACTCCGTTTTCAGATCATGTGCTGCACTGAAAACTCCTGAGACAAAAATAAGCTTTTATGAATAAAAAAACAAATTTTCTCCAACATCTATTGATTTTTATGTCTCCCATTATTACTAATGTTATCAAAGATTTGTAAGTAAAGAGATATACATGTACTTTGGAAAGTCACCTTACATATACTCAGTGCTGAGCTCATCCCTGTAGCACGAGCTTCTACTAGGTACCATACCATTCAGCCACTAAGACTGTACTCTTACTCCCTTCAGATGTATATGAAATACTGGTCAGTTCATCAGTAGCTATCTATACTCCTGGGTGTGGAGACACTGTGAGAGTAAAGCCTCCCAGCCAAGACTACAACACAATCACTTTAGCCCAGGGCTTAAACTCAGACCACTTGATCAGAAGTTCAGTATATGGGCGGCCGTCACCACCAAAAATACAAGGATGTCAAATAGATCAGCAAATACAAAGATGGTGTAAGGATCAGCTGCAGGATAGCATAGCTAATAAAGGAATGGAATGGCCAAATTATAGACAGTCTAGTTTTCCTTCGTGAAACAGAACACCCAAAACATGAATAGTTTAGCCAAATGAGAAACGGTCTAGTAGCCCATGTTGAGTTGGATCATGAGATTGTGAAATGGACTAGCTTAATTACGAATAGCTTAGCACTCATTTGCAATACAGTACTCAAACGGTGTAGCGTTGAGTTAAACGGCTCAGGGTAACGTCGAGTAGCACAGCGTACGCACAAACGGTGTAGCGTTGCGTCAAATGGCTCAGCGTAATTTAGAATGGTACAGCGTACACACATATGGTGTAGCGCTGCGGGAAATGGCGCAGCGTAATGTAGAATGGTACAGCGTACATAAAAACAGTGTAGCGTTGTGTGAAATGGCTCAGCGTAATGTCGAATGGTACAGCGTACATACAAACAGTGTAGCGTTGCGTGAAATGGCTTAGAGTAATGTCGAATGGTACAGCGTACATACAAACAGTGTAGCGTTGCGTGAAGTGGCTTAGCATAATGTCGAATGGCACAGCGTACACACAAATGGTGTAGCGTTGCGTGAAATAGCTCAGTGTAATATAGAATGGTACAGCGTAGACACAAATAGTGTAGCGTTAGGTCGAATAGCTTTGCAAAAACATCAGACGCTCTATCTGAACATTAAATTGCGTAGTATTACTTGAAATACTTCGATGTTGTGGCGAATCGTCGTGGCGTGACGTGAAGGCTATGCCATTCCTTTATTAGCTATGCTATCCTGCAGCTGATCCTTAAGCCATCTTTGTATTTGCTGATCTAAACGACATCCTTGTATTTTTGGTGGTGACGGCCGCCAAGGCATCTCGCCGAAACCACCAAAAATACAACCGCAAATGGAACAGCAATCTGCTGGGGGTATGACGTCATCGAATGTGAAGACTGACACGAAACCATCACATGGCGTAGTATAGTCTTCACTTCGCTTTGCCGTAAAGCAGAGCCAATTTGGTAAGTTTCTCCTCTTTTTTCACTGCTGATATTGCACTTATTCGTTGTCGTTCATGAAAGCGTCAATTAAAATAGCAACGAGACTGAATTCTACCACGATTTGTCGGCCTCCCGGTTTACCACAGTTTGCACGCGTTGGTGGGCCTGAACATGTTTATAGTATTAAGTAGTGTTATGACGTGCATTAAATGTCAATTTTCGAGCTCTCTTTTCTTTCTCCGACTCACGCTTACTTTTCAATTTTTACTTTTCCTCAACTATTAATTTTTGTGATTATTATTATTATTATTATTTTTATTAGTATTATTGCTTCAGACTGAGTTCAGTACACACTAGATATATTGACTAGAGTTGCGTGACCATGGCATCCAGGGCACACACAAAATCCAACTTCTCACGTACTCCTGCAATGTTCAAAGAACCGTTGAAGTTAAGCTCCCTTTGAAAAGTAAGCGCAAGTCAGAAAAGAAAAGAAATGAGAGCTCGGCAATAGACATTTAATGCACATTTTAATAATAGTTGAGTTTAATAGTTAAATTAATAGTTGAGGTACAGAAATGTAAAAATAAATAAAAATATAAATAAATACGTCTACCGAAACAAACGACGAAACAGCAAGATGTCCTGTCAATTGTCTGAATTATGCAATAGTTTTTATTCAGCAAGTTGCGACTGTAACAGATCGAACGGTAAAACTCGACCTAGAGTTGGACAATTACATACAACTACGTGCATTACGGTGTCCGCACTAGCCTTCCTTAATACGTGATGACTACGGAATGGGAAAGAGCACAGGGAAGATAAGTATGTATGCGCGCAAAACCAACTCAGAAAAAATATTACTCTGGCAAAAACTATTTTGAAAAAAACCCTTTAACTGTTTCCGGTCCAGACATGTAATCTACGTTTGATCGACAAAATAAAAATGGAACTTACTTTTACTATCACTGCACCCAGGAAAAAATTAATAAACAAAGCAATATAATGTACACCTTTTTAAAATAATAAATATGTCTTCTCTTAGCTTACTCTTATCGTCCGACACACCAATTAAAGCATTCCGATATCACTTTGATCGAAAAATGTCAAAACAGATCAAGGAATCAGTTTTCTTACCATGGCGTCCAAGGCACACACAATATTCAACTTCTCACGTACTCCTCCAATGTTCAAAGAGCCGTTGAAGTTGGACTCTCATTGAAAAGTAAGCGTGAGTCGGAGAAAGAAAAGAGAGCTCGAAAATTGACATTTAATGCACGTCATAACACTACTTAATACTATAAACATGTTCAGGCCCACCAACGCGTGCAAACTGTGGTAAACCGGGAGGCCGACAAATCGTGGTAGAATTCAGTCTCGTTGCTATTTTAATTGACGCTTTCATAAACGACAACGAATAAGTGCAATATCAGCAGTGAAAAAAGAGGAGAAACTTACCAAATTGGCTCTGCTTTACGGCAAAGCGAAGTGAAGACTATACTACGCCATGTAATGGTTTCGTGTCAGTCTTCACATTCGATGACGTCATACCCCCAGCAGATCGCTGTTCCATTTGCGGTTTGTATTTTTGGTGGTTTCGGCGAGATGCCTTGGCGACCGTCACCACCAAAAATACAAGAATGTCGTATAGATCAGCAAATACAAAGATGGCTTAAGGATCAGCTGTAGGATAGCATAGCTAATAAAGGAATGGCATAGCCTTCACGTCACGCCACGACTATTCGCCACAACATCGAAATATTTCAAGTAATACTACGCAATTTTATGTTCAGATAGAGCGTCTGATGTTTTGCAAAGCTATTCGACCTAACGCTTCACTATTTGTGTCTACGCTGTACCATTCTACATTACGCTGAGCCATTTCACGCAACGCTACACCATTTGTGTGTACGCTGTACCGTTCGACATTATGCTAAGCCACTTCACGCAACGCTACACTGTTTGTATGTACGCTGTACCATTCGACATTACCCTAAGCCATTTCACGCAACGCTACACTGTTTGCATGTACGCTGTACCATTCGACATTACGCTGAGCCATTTCACACAACGCTACACTGTTTTTATGTACGCTGTACCATTCTACATTACGCTGAGCCATTTCCCGCAGCGCTACACCATATGTGTGTACGCTGTACCATTCTACATTAAGCTGAGCCATTTGACGCAACGCTACACCGTTTGTGCGTACGCTGTGCTACTCGACGTTACCCTGAGCCGTTTAACTCAACGCTACACCGTTTGAGTACTGTATTGCAAATGAGTGCTAAGCTATTCGTAATTGAGCTAGTCCATTTCACAATCTCATGTTCCAACTCAACATGGGCTACAAGACCGTTTCTCATTTGGCTAAACTATTCATGTTTAGGGTGTTCTGTTTCACGAAGGAAAACTAGACTGTCTATAATTTGGCCATTCCATTCCTTTATTAGCTATGCCATCCTGCAGCTGATCCTTACACCATCTTTGTATTTGCTGATCTATTTGACATCCTTGTAATTTTGGTGGTGACGGCCGCCCATATCAGTATGTTCACACACAAGCCAGTGCATCTCTCGACACTGGAAGGAAAACTTACCCACCACAACTGATATCATATAAGTATCAATTCTCTCTCCCAGGATACAATATATCCAAATATCTCTTTGAGCAGATTTTACAGTAACAGTTACTTCAAAGGAAAAAGAGGTCTTACCCTCTCCTTCTGTCTCAATTGCAATTCCTGAAGGAAATGACTTCACTAGTTCATCTCGTCGCCACTCAGCTTGTACGAGCTCACAACCACTCAAAACCTCACCACAGTGGACTTCAACTTTCCTTTCTTGAGGATTTTCTAGGGGTGGATTCCAACCATAAGCTGCATATTGAATGAGAGCAGCAATGTCCCTGCTTACAGGAGTTGTTAACCCACAAAATTTCTTTCCATCCTTTGTAATTTTCTGATTGGAATAGGTTGTGAGCTTTTCTGAAACAACCACATCCCCCAGCTTTGTTGATTCCTGATTCACACCACTACAGTGGCCCACAGTAAAGACAGCTTTTGGCCTCAGCTGAGTGACAGCATTCTTTACAACAGTCAAAGCACCACCAGGAATTTTAGAGCCCTCTGAGCATTTCATCAAAGCAACATTCAGTTTAACATCTTGATCTTCACCAATGCTTCCAAAGTATACAGGACCAAGCCCTTTGAAATAGCTTCTAAATGGATCATTAATGTAATAGTAGCAACTTAATAACTCACAGTCCTTCACTGTTAACAACAGAATGTCAATTGGGAGTTGAACATCCTTCCAACGTTTAGAATTCTGGGTTAGCTCACTTATCTCTGGAAGACAAAAATTGATCTTTGGTGGGTCACCATAAATGTTCTTTGAACTGTTCTCATCAGTTTCCGCTCTTTTTGATTTTACCACTCCCATTCTGAAAATAAAAGCAGTACAGAAAATATAAAAACTAGAATTCAGCAACTTATTACCTTGTGATTTAATTTCCCATAATTAAGCCTGGACACAATGACTAGCCTCCAGTCCTGCCCATTTAATCAGTGTTTAATTGATCCAACTGTAGAAGTTAATGTTAAATTTATTTTGGAACAGAATTCTATTAAAAATTATCTTCTTCACGGCACAAATCTACAAAGACAATCATTTTAAAATCATCAGTCATAATAACTGAAAAAGACAAAATCAATCACAATGGGTATCAAAGCCAATATAGATTTGTGTATTTATTAATAATGACCTTGTACCATATAAATGTAAAATCCCTGGAAGATATGAATAATCACATATCTGGTGCCAAACATCAAAGAAAACTGGACACATCTCCAGTTTGTACAACGAAGCTTATACTGTACTCAGATCAAAATATATGATAAAGAATATCAACCTAAGGTCTTGTCTCAAGCCTGATGCTCAGAGGTTGCATAAAATTTATTTTTAAGTTTAAGATCCTTTTCCTAAAGGCAGCCAGTTATATGTTTCACACTTTTTTAAACAATATATTCTTATCAAAGCACTAAGTGATAATTTTAAATTTTTTTTAATGTGTTTGGATGGTGGCACTGATTTATTTACCATGAGCGACAATTAGGAAACAGAATAGTGTGTAGCACAGTTCCAGCTTGAGTGTTGAACACTGTGATGGTCCTTAACCATCATTAACTGATGGTTAAGTAACTGATTCATTTTTGATAAGTGACAAAGGAGAGGGCAGTGTGTGTAGCTTTAACCATTTCTGCCGCCCAAGCATATGATGGTCTTTAATTAGCCACTGATACTAATTTATTTTTGATTAATGAAAAGTAAACAGTGCAGTGTGTGTAGAATTATTCCCACAGCCTATGCATATGGTGGTCTTTAATCAGCAAGTCATTACACCTGTTCCAATCAGTCTGAAAGGTAATCAGGTGGAGGATTGGACCTTTTTGAAAAAGAAAAATTTGAAAAAAAGCTTAACAAATAATCCTCAGAACAATGTTGTGGGAAAGGAAACCTACCAAAAAGCTAAATATTAACCAGTTGATGATCACACAGAATCCAACAGTTTCTATTTTTTAACAACGCTTAATTAACAGTGTCAGCCATGAAGATGGAAACATTGATACCAAAAACAGATAACAAAAATTGGCATCTACTGGTTGCTTATGGTGTATTAAACAATGAACTGATCTTCTAAATATTGGTAACACTGAGAATAAAGAGCTGTGAAGTCAGGAAGTGAATCAAAGCATTAACACTTGATAAGGACATTGGTATAATCCGAGCTGCAGAAATATACACCATTGAGCTGAAGAACATAGACTAAAGGAGCTGTGGACACACTCTTAAGTATAGCTAAGAATCACAAAAAGAAATCTGACACCACACAAAAGGTACCCGTACCAAGACTGTGGAAATCTCACAAAACAATGTACATCAATGTCCTGCCTCTGGAAAAAATGTAGCAAGTGCCACAAAAAGAATTGTTCGCTACAACGTGCTGACTTTGACAAAGACTTTGTCAGTAATGGAGGAAATCAGATCACAAGGGAAAATTTTGACTGAGCAGCATGTCAAAGAGATACGCCACAACTTTCTGACAAGATGAAGACTCCAAATCAGATGATGAGCAACAGTATTCAGAAGCAGACAGTGATCATACCAAATACCTGGTGGAGCCTCAGCTAAGGGAAGGTGAGAGCTGTGAGTCAGCCGACAGCAAGACAATGCAAACATTAGCTGACTGTAGTTTGAAATTTAGATCCCCTTTTACACATTTTACACTGATATACAGGCATACATGTTCTTCTTACTGTGGACATAACCAAGAATACACGAGGAGCTAATTCAGACAAGAAAAAAATTGACTGCAACCTTCATCTACAGGGTTATCATTCTAACAGTAATTTCAGGAGGAAACAACGATACATGTACTTAATATGTTTCTGTCAGAGTGACAAATTTGTGTATAATTTGTATATAATGAATAAATTCCATCTGCATATGACAAAGTGTTTTAGCTAGGGTCTTTGTTTTATAGCTTCACACGGTACTTTCTACAAAATGGAGACTCCATTGATTTTACATCTAGTGCACTGAGGAACACTTTAGCTTGGTTTTTAAACTGTCTGTGCCTCAATGGGCATTAAAAAAAAAAGGTCTTCAATTTTTGGTCTTTGGTCTTCATTTTGTACACACACAAGACATTACTGAGTTATTTCCTAGCGATTTATGGCTAATTTTGTAATACTTTGGGATCATTACACAATGCCAGATTTCACTATAAACCTTACACTAGGCTCAGAGTAGTATATCAATATGTTTTATAACGTATTCTGTGGTTTTTTAAAAAACTTACACTTCCTATGTATCAACATCATCTTAATCCATTTCTGATAAAACAGCAGCTAAAAAGTGTTGATCTATCTCCACAATCATATTTTCTTCTAACAACTTCCAATGTTTGCCCCATGACAATCCCAGAAATCTTAGCACAAACACAAGTATCAGATTACTGGCAACTCATTCATTGGCTGACTCAAAATGAGTGGAACAAAATCCTAGTACACATAAGCTCAGTTTTGTTTTGATTCTGTGAATTATCTGTGATGTATCTTTATTCCTAAATGTTCTTACCTTACTATGCTATGTCATGCTAATACTTGTTTAAATATAAACTAGAAAAAGATGTTATCATAAAGAATGTTGAGAATGTTAACCATCATACTGGTGTATAATGTATCCCTACACATGCACCTGTACTATGTAATGGAGCTCAAATCAATTAGTTGTGGTTATCAGTTGATATACTCTGTTGCAAACTAGAAGCTGTGTTGCCAGCTGAAGGTCTATTTATCATCATTATTATTATTGTTATTATTATTATTATTATAATCTTTATCTCTATTTTCCTATACATAGATTTATATTTATTTCAATTAGGCATACAAGATAAACACTCACTTTTCAAGTTGCTTCTCCTGTGAGATGGTAGCAGTAGTTGACTCAAACTCTCAGGTACTTGTTGTTGCTGGATTGAATCAGTAATACCATCCACCAGATAAACCACTGACCCAGTAGATTGTGTGTTGGATTGTGTTCACAACAATCTACTAGCCAGTGATTAATCTGGTGGACAGCAAAAAATTCAACCAGCTGGTGGAAAAATGACTGTTCTATGCCAAAATCACTGTAAGTTCTGGCTGTTCAGTCAGTCAAGTATCAGAACACCTGCAGCTGTTGGAATGGAACTTAACCCCAATTCAGAATATTCTGGAACTCAGCTGCAAGGAAGTCAAACACATATGGATCAATTATTATTATTTATATGATAAGCTGAATTATACACACACTTTGATTGGTTCTTATATAAAAATATGGTAAGTTCATCCATGGCACACTCCACCGTGCCTCATGTGCCACTTCTTTGTTCTTTGCACAATTTGACATGAACTATGAAGTATTACTCAACAGACACATGACAACACACACAATCTATTTAGAAAATGGAATAACCATTCAATTTACAATTGAATACGCAAAAATCATTAAAAAGTTATAAGTAAGTTGTTCAGACATTAAGTTTTAAAATAATGTAGCTTTCCTTTTTTGCTCCTGAACACATGGGGTGTGCAAGTAAGCAAGAAATGTTGAGAGGAACAAAAGCCCTATAGCACCAATGAAAAAATGTTTCTGTACATCATGAAAATGGTAAAGTAGATGACCAGCTGTTTATTAAGTTCATAATTTACTTATTTATTGAACATTAATGTATATACAGGGTACTCTCTTACAACATGGTGATTCTCTTAAAAATGCATACAAAGACAAAATATCACAAACAAAATTCCAAAGGAAAACATCCATATATATAGTTCATAGAGACAAGGTGCAAAATTGCAATCTGAGCTGGCTGTCAATGCTACTGAAAATTGACTGTTTGCAACTAGAATGTTAATGTTAGTAATGCTAACCGGTATCTATTTAAGACCTTGGAAAAGTTCAATTTTGGAGAACCCTTTATTAGGTGGATATGTCTTTTCTATACTAATATATCCAGCTGCATTATGAATAATGGTGTAGCAACTCCTCTTTTTTCAATCGGAAGAGGGGTTAGACAGGGTGACCCTCTCTCGCCCTATTTATTTATTTTAGCCTTGGAAACCCTCCTTACCGCTATCAAACAGACTCGAAATATAAAAGGTATAGTGGTAGAAAACAAAGAAATCAAATGCATCACATTCGCCAATGACTTAACAAACTTTTTACGCGATAAGGAATCTTATGACTCTCTTAGTTCCTTATTGAACACATATGGTGAATGTTCAGGGCTTAAACTAAATAAGGACAAAAAAGAAGCCTACTGGTTAGGAAGTTCCTATCGAAATCATGAAGCTCTCGATATTAATAAGGTGAATGAGCCAATTAAAATACTAGGTATATTTTTCACTTATGATCAGCGTAAAAGCAGAGAGCTTAACTTTGACCTTACTTTAAAGTCAATAAGAAAGTCCTTAAGTTGCTGGCAATGGAGAAACTTAACATTAATTGGTAAAATTCAATTAGTCAAAACATTTGCTATGCCTAAGTTTATGTATCAGGCCTCCTTTATCTCTTTTGATAAGGATATAATTAAAAGCATAAATTCTGTGATATTCAATTTCGTGTGGAGAGGCAAAGACAAAGTCAAAAGACTAGCCTTAATTAGTGAATACGAAGACGGTGGCCTCAAAATGCCTCACCCTGAATCTTTAATTAAAACTCAAAGAATTGTGTGTCTTGCAAGGTATTTAGATGATAATAGTAGTCCGTGGAAAGTTTTCTTGTCTCATTATCTTAAGAATGTAGGAACCAGTTTTCTGCTTCAGTGCAATTTCAATCCATCGCGCCTACCCTGTAAACTACCTTCTTTTTATAAAGAATGTCTTGAAATTTTGTCTGACTTTAATGGCAATCACGATATAATAGCTACAAAACAGGACATTTTAAATGTGACTATCTGGAACAACCAGAACCTCTTGATTAACAAGAAATCAATATACAACAAGAGAATAAAAGAAGCAGGTTTTGTGAAACTTGGAGATATTCTCTCAAATGACTCAAAATTAAAAAGGTGGGACACTTTTAGAGAGAAAAATCTCTCCTTGTCAGATTACTTACTCCTACAAGGCATTTTTTCCGCCATTCCGCCTAACTGGAAACAGCTCCTTAACGTTGGAGAGAATAATAAAAACCGAATTGACAAAACTGTTTCAGACGATGTTCAAGATATAACTAGAATGACTTCAAAATCAATCTATTCCACCCTGGTCAAACGAATCCAGATTTCTCTGACTGCCCAATCTAAGTTTAATTCCGTATATAATATTTCAGGTAATATAGACTGGAAAAATATTTATCTATTGCCGGGTCGAGTCACTCTTGACACCAGAACGAGAGCCTTTCAATAAAAAAAAATCTTAAATCGTATTCTCTACACCAATAAAATCCTATCTAAAATGAATTTGGTTCCTTCTCCGATGTGTACCTTTTGTGGAGATCACGAAGAAACTCTTGAGCATCTTCTAATCAGCTGTACCTACACTAAAAACTTTTGGCTCTCGGTTATTTCTTGGTTAAATACTTACAATATGAAAATTGATAAGCTTGATGAGGTAACAATCCTCTTTGGTATTTCCGATAATAACCCTGGGAATTGTTTGCTAAATCACATAATCATTCTTGGAAAATATACCATTTATTCATGTCGTTGTAAAAATATCAAGCCGTCTGTATCCTTACTGAAGGCTAAAACATCTGAAACTTGGAAATTTGAATTTTTGATTGCAAAAAAGAATAAAAAAGAATCTATTCATTATAAAAAATGGGAAAACATGTTATTGTAACTCAATAGATGAGTATCGGGTATTAACAGTTATAGACGCAGTTGTATATACAGTCGTTCTACCAAAAAAGGAATTTGATGTAGAAGTATTTGTACAAATTAGGCTTATATTATTATATAACCACAACATAAATTAAATCTAGCCGACTGTGAATGTAATGTAATGTAGTATTTCGTAATTAGTGTTAGTGAGTAGCGTAAGTGTTAGTGTAATTAACTTTGTATTTGTTTGTATTACTCTAGTATTTGTGCTTTAAGTGAAAATAAAAAAAAAAGTTTTAAAAAAAAAAAAAATTTAAGGTTTTCTCAGTATTCTTCATGCAAACCAGCACTCAGGAATGCAGAAATGAATCCATAATTTATTACTGACATTAACTTCTAACTCTGGTTTTCAGTAAAGAGTCAAGGTCTTTGAAACTATTTTGTATTTCAGTTGAATAAAACATTTAACCTTTTCTCTAATCATTGAGACTTAGCAATCAAATCATTGCTTCAAATGGTGACTGAATCCAATTGTTTTATTGACACTCCCTTGGCACCCAAGTGAAGAAGTTAATTCTAGACCCTGAGTTGACAATGAAATAAAAAGCAAAGAAAGAGAGCATTTCAAAGCGGCTCAGATTAGTAACAAGAAGCTTGTAGGCACTGGAAATAATACTGATCTTCACTGTACTCTGACAATTACTTTCAAGTCCACAAAAATCAAGTGGTAAAATAAAATAAACACCATACAGAGCTAAGTAAGACACTGATAGGAGTGAAGAAGTTACAAATTATGCTCCCTTGCATTTGATGTAGAATGAACAAGAACTATTAACAAAAACTGGGCAAAGCAAAGCTGTTTGAAGTGAAGCCATTGAGAGTTAATTCGAACTAAAGGTACAAATAATCTCACCATTATATGATCCAAACTTAGTATATAATCTACAGTGTCATAGCAGTGATACTTCAGAATTATGATTTACAGTGCACAACGTTTGAATCAAGCTTAAGAAACGTTTCTCCTCGCCGAGATTATTTTAATAAATGGTAAATTTAGCTTTAATTGGTAAACCGATGGCGATTAAACGATATACATTACAATCAGCTAAGGCGCCCGTTTGTAACCAGTTGTCGCGTTCTGAATGCCAACCCACGCACGAATGCTTATTTCAGAGCTTTTGTCATTGGTGAACATGCTGTTCTCAAAAACTGGCTCATTCATCTCGTTATTCATACAAAAGCTAATAAGTGCTACTCGCTTATTTTAATGGTGTTGTGTTACAGTAGGATTACCTGTCACAACTACGTCTTGCTCTGACTCGTATGTAGAATTTTTTATGAGAGACCGGATTCGCTTTTTGTTTCGATATTTGTCGAATCATCGATCAATGTTCACCAAATTGCTCGAAAAAATTGAACGGAAAATTAACTGCAGGATATATATAGTTCAAGTTTGTTTAAAACTCGCCGGCGCGTGCAATGAAACTGTTTACATTCCGGTGCGTAAACACTGAAGCGGGCGCCAATCGCAATGAATAGAACAGAACACAATTCACTTTATTGAAAAATATATTTTCCTTCTGATCCTAACCGAAGATGATCGAGGTAGGCTTGAAGTTTTGAAGAAATCATCAACTGCGATGCAAACACCAAATTGTTTACATTCCGCGACGTAAACATCTTAGGGAGCGCTAATTGCAGTGAATAAATTGAGAAGCATAGTAGTACTTGTTTCGTTACTCGTTCAATAAAACTCGTGTTTCGATGCCTTGAGTAACTGACATTTTCCTTCCCGGCTGATTCATCAACAAATCAAGCAAACGTACTTCTACTGCTCGTTATCCAAAAAAATCGCGAAGCGACGCGACATGCGTGAGTGTAACATGATAGCTTTTCTCGCAAATAAAATATATTAAAGTTCACACGGCAACCAGGTGGACAATTAGACACAGCTTGATGCTACACTGGTTTGCAGATTTAATGGGTTTGTAAACCCGTGTTACTGAACCCATTAAGAGAATTTTGAATAGCCACAACGTTAAAGTTGCTCAAAAACCTTTTCAGACTTTGGGGCATATTTTCGCCAAACCTAAGGATCCTGTCACGAAAGAACAACGAGCCGACGCCATTTATTCTATTCCTTGCAATGACTGTGACAACGAATACATCGGACAGA